TCCTCTCTCTTTTTCTCCATCCTTCCTTGCTTTCTTACTTCCCTTCTTTCTTTCTTTTTTCCTCCCACCATCAACCCTGACGGGAAGTCCAAATAAAAAAGTAGCACATCATTTTTCATGCATTGACTTACTTGACACCGGGAATGTCCAGCATGTTTGTGAGTCCCGTCCAGTTGATGTCCAGCAACTAAAAAAACAAACAAAGAAAAATACGATTTAGATCCACTGTGCCGACAAACTGGAGCAGTCCATGAAGAGCTGTAGATTTCTGTAGAATATGAAATAATCCATCTTGAAGTTTATGCTCTTGAGTGTTCAGTATTATTTATTACAGTCTGTTTTACAAGCAGCTGGAACTCCTTACAGGAGCTTTAATGCAAAGTGATTTTAAAAAGATGTTTTAAAAACATGAAGGATTGTCAACTTTTATTACCCATCAAATAACGCCAATTCCTCCCTGACAGTAGTTCAAGGAAGAATGTGGAACATTTTACTCATAAATACATCATAAATAAAGTCTCTCCTGTGTAAATGTGTCTCTGAGTCATGACTGTCTACAATGAGGGAGAAGCTCGAGTCCGCTGGCTGTGTTGTTGTCAGAGCTGTGTTTACATAGATGGGACGGCCGGCTCCTCCCCTTGTGTATAAAACTTGTTTTAGTCAAGAAGAACATACTCACTGATTATTTGGATGTTCTGTGTTAATTTATGTGCAATTTGAAGCTACGAGCTAACTTAAGAGCGCTAACGTTAGCATGCTAACACAACAATGCAGGACACAGGCAACTGCAGCTCGAGCAAAGGACAATTTTGTCCACCGCTTAATGGTGTTTAATTATGGCGTGTTCTTATTCATAACTCCTTCATGTGAATGTGATTGGAGAGGGGGGTTGGAGGTGTGTCTCTGGAGGAGACGGAGGCTTCAGGATGGAGGAGGTGTGGCCAAAGAGTAGTTTGTTTTGGTTTCATGCTGGTGCTCAAGGGCGACACCTACTGGACCTAAAAGTCGTACAGTCTTCCTTTAAAGTTGTTTTATATGTTTAGACTGAAGGAAATTTGATTGAGTGGACTGTTGGGAGAATATTTTGTGTTTTGTGTGATTTTCTGTCGTTAAAATATCTACATCAGCTTAGATGTAAAACTGACTCAGCTTTTTTTGCCCCTCGAGTCATGACTCAGCAGCAGGAGCCAAACTCTAAACCCCATCGACCTGATAATCAATACAGCGGTGCAGATTGTGTTAGCCGTCATTAGGACAGGAAGGATGTGATAAGATAATGTAACTGACGGTCTTTGGAAATCACATTACTTTAACTTATAAACAGCTGTTGATGCTGCAACATCAGGAGAGGACAAACAGAGACACATAGTGTGTGCTGAGAAAGAATTTCAAGTCAATAAATAAGCAGCTCAAAAGACAAGATAAGGGTCAGAAGAACTGGTTGATGTTTTGGGGCTGTCAGGAATGTTGATTTGTATTATTTCCCATTCATCTTGCACATGATTTAAAGGTCACATATTATTCAAAATCCACTTCAACATGTTTCTCAAACACTAATGTGTCTCTAGTCCGTCTACAAACCCCCCAATGATGAGAAAGTCCATCCTCTCCGTCTTTTCCCTGCTCCACTTTTCAGAAAATGTGTACTCAAACAGGCCGTTTGGAGATTTTCCCTTCATGACATCACAAAGGGCAGTAGCCCCTCCCCCAGGTGGGTGACACTCCCACAGCTAGGTGTTTGTTCTGCCCTCTGAGTCTGCCTTCTCGCCGTAAACAATAGGACATGGAGAGAGAAATCACTGAGTACATCCAAGCCCTTCCAGAGAGGGGGCGTGGTCAGACACAGCTCATTTACATATTTAAAGGTACAGACACAGAAACAGCCTGTTCTGAGCAGGGCTGAAATAGAGGGGTTTATAGACATGATCAAATACAGGATCAGAGTGGATTTAGAACAAGAAACTTCACACACATGTTTTGAGGAGCTCTGAGACTTATTGAAACTGAAGAGGAGGAGATATGTGACCTTTAAACCCTGCATATACACATTTGGAGCAAAGAAACTACAACATGATGACAACATGAGCGATGGATCAAGAACTCGCCCCACAACCCAGATTCAATTAGATTATTCAATTCGACATTTCAAGACATTTCAGATACATTTTTGAGGCCTGACCAATACAGGATTTTCGTGGCCGATAATGATACAGATTTTAACCGATAGGGGTCAAACAGAGGACAGGCTGTGGTTTCAACATTGAAGAAAAAAAAAGAACATCCAAACTGTGTTAATCGGATTTAATGTATAAGCAGTCATGTGTTAAAATGTAAGCCCTGTTTCTGTTCAGTATGTAAAGGCTGATTGTTCTCTTCATCACTGTGAACTGGAGGAACGAACATCCAGAGTCGACCAATAAAACCACCTGAAAAGTAAAGTGAGGACGCTTTTTAAAGACAAAAACTAACTCCTCTTACTGACTGCATAATGAAGTCATCTCTTATATTTTACTCTTATTGTGTAATGGTCTCTAAACCAGGACCAGTAGAGACTACCCCCTTACATTCACACCCTCTGACTGAGACTTTCTGTTGATAAAGTAAAGAAAGTATTCATTGGCATTAGAAATTTCCCAAACCGATGTGTAAATCTGAGTGTGCAGAGGTGATGAAACCGAACTCTGAAGGCAGAAACACGTTCCCTAAAGTCAGGAACATCCACTCATGTAAACCAGGACTCTCATATTCAGAGGGGGCGACGCATCCTGGTTTTCTAACCCAGTTGTGAAAGCTTTGAGACTCTGAAAATAAAGCTGAGGTACCAGAGGGACAGGAGAAGTCACATAGTTTAACATTATGTCACCCAGTTTGTCAAGACAGAAATCTCCCAACATGCACTGCAGCCAAAAAGCACAGCACACGTGCCAGACACACCCTGATGTCTACTCCATATCAAGGCTGACAGCTGCTGCCAAGGATACCGAACGACTGCATCACAGTGCAAACAGAAGACGGTTCAGAGACTGAAATGAGACAGCTGCATGCACATTTAAACAAACTGTGAATGGAGAGTTAGTGATAGTTGTTAACACAGAAAAAGGCCCAAAGTGTGATGAAATGATAATACCTGTTTACCAAAGCTCATGGCTATTCATAATGTTTAACCACATGGCTGCATTGAATACTTGATTCTGATTGGTCGATTACGGCAAATACAGCTTTCTGTTATGTCTGTGTAATAGACCTTTGACACTGATGCAGTGCTGACCAACAAATACTCACTTACTGTGGGGAAAAAAACAAAAAAACGGAAAAGACACCAAAACCGTTGGGCGCTGGTAGCCTAGTGGTTACGTCAACCGCCCTATGTACAGAGTCTACAGTCCTCATCACAGTGGACGTGGGTTCAAATCCGACCTCGGCCCTTTGCTGCATCATATCCTCAACTCTCTCCTCCCAACTTTTCTTTCTCTCTCCAGCTGTCCTTTCCAAAAAGACAATAACGGCCCAAAAGAAGACATTGATTTTGAGATATTCCGCGGATACAGATACCACTCGATCGTTACTTATGGCCGACTGGATGGGAATATGACAGACGTGGACAGCAAAGATATTACATATATATTTTAGGTTGAATTATTGGATTCTTTAGTAAGTGGTAACAACAGGGTTTCCAGCTCCACACTTCCTACAGTATGTAAACCAGTGTGTGTACTTTAGTTCCTTTTGAGCCCCGATGTGAGACTTCCCCTCGTTGTTTTTTAGTCTGCATGTTGATAATAATAATAATAAAGTTGTAATTATATAATCTGTAGCCTATAAACACTCAAATATGAGTACATCATGTAAAACTGTAAATAAATTAAAAACCCAAACACTACAGAAATGGTTCAAATTACAGAACTAGTGAAACCAGTTTAAACGCTAAAAGGCAAACCTTCATATAGTGTGCCTCAGTGTCAGCGGGGAGATGTGACTAATTTCACAAATTAACTGTAAATGTGTGAGTGTGGCCGCTGTGTGTGTGTGTGTGTGTGTGTGTGTGTGTAAAGAAGTGGGTGTGTGTTCCTGTGGCCTAGTTAGCGCTCTAGATGTGGACCACAATGCCTCTCTGCCACACTGGTACAGGAAGAGAATGGGGGGGGGGGGGGGGGTGATCTCTGTATGCAGCTTCAGAAAAATGATGAACAACTTTAATTTACAGATTTGTAAAAAGATGCAATGTGTGTGCAAACTGCTGCAGCTCATTAAACCTTAATACAGATATAAAGATGTTTATTTTATTTTGTTAGAAGACAAAACTGGTCCAATTGTTGGCTGACTTTGGAAGCTGCTTTTTATTGCTGCTTTTAAGATTGCCCCCCTGGTCAACATTGTTTTAAATCCAGTGGAAAACAACCTCCCTCAAACATGTGTGCAGCAGACTGGTTTTCATTTTTACAGCATGCATACTTCTACTCTTCTCTTGTAGGCAGACTCTAATCTGGAGGAGGTGGAGGAATTGGATTGATTGATTGATTGACTAACTGATTGAATGGTCACTTCCTGTCAGCACCTGTGTGTCTGATCAGACTTAAAGCTGTTTGTTTGCACTTCCTGTTGTTGTCTCCTCCTCTCTAGATCCTTGCTTGTGTTGTACTTACTCTCTGATGTTCATCGCCTTGGATAAAAGCGTCTGCTAAGTGAATTGTAGAAACTATTGAAATGTACCTTTTCTGGGCTTTTATCTGTATATTGAATGACAGAGTTGAGGGGCCGGCTTGTTCCACAATCGAGGGCTCTCTACCAAAAAAATTCAGTCACTTTTTAGTTGCTGTTGAGCTCGAGGAACAACCAGCAGACACTACTGATGGGTGATGATTTTGAACCGTCATTTCAAATCTGACCTCAGCCTTTTGCTGCATGTCGTCTCTCCCTCTCTCTCCTCTCATCATTTCCTGTCTTTCTCCAGCTGAAGAATCAAGAAATCATCCACCTGTTCCTGCAGGGAGCTTTGGAGTCCCATCGATGATGGAAATGCTGTCCCAGTCTAACTTTCAGTCGACCTAACGACAGGCTGAGAGCTGGAGCTGAGTTATGAATAACCTTCATGAAATCAACGGATGACTTATCAAAAATGTTCCCCTGTACAGTGTGTGCCGATCCAGACATGAGCTAATCAGACCTGTTTGTTCTTTTGAACCAGGCTGTAAACATGTTCATCTCTGCTGTAAAAACAGGCTTTTTAGAATGGGTGTGTATGTGACTTCCTGTGCTTCTGCAGCCACCCTCTAGTGGACACTCGACAAACTGAAGGATTTTTAAACACTGCTTGGTCGGGAACTAAAAAGGCACATTCATGGAGCCACTTCATGACGAGGTTAAAGGTCGCAAAATGTTATCTAAAACAAACATGGCACCAGCAGAAGAACCGATTACAGGTACCTGTTGTAAACCTGGCAGCAGCGCTCTGCTCTCGCTGCAGACATGAGAGGATTTGACTGACTGACCCACATGTGCAGGGAGCTACAGTAGTCCAGGTGAGAGGTGATAAGAGCATGGAGAAGTTTCAGAAGGTTACACAGGTTTAGACTATTGTGTTAAACTTCTTAAGCAAACAGGGATGATTTGCATCACTGACTCCTTTTGTGCTATGAGGACACCATGCGTTAAAACGACTGGAGTTCAATATATGGGCGGCATGTGTTCAAACTATTTAACCAAAGCAAAACACTCAATACGGCTTTGTTTGTACACTGACTGACACATTCTTTATTCTTCAAGATGAAACACACGTCTTTGTTGGAACCTAAATGTGTTGCTGGGGGCCATGATAGTAAAAATGTCTGCTATGTGAATCCAGTGACATCACTGTGAAGCAATACAGAGAAACAATGCACAACACAGCTAAGTATGCGTGAAGTATTTCCCAATAGGTGACACATGAAACTTCAGATGCTGCAACCAAACTAATTCAAGACTTACTGCAGTCACATTCAAGCCAAAACATTTAAAAAATGTTGTTTTGTTCCTTTAAACTCCACAGAAAACCATGTGTGTTTTGATCTGATGATACAAAGATGATATGCAAGCAAATGACAACAATCACAGGACAATATTAAATAGTTAAAGGTCACATATCCTCCTCCTCCTCTTCAGTTTAAATAAGTCTCAGAGCTCCTCAAAACATGTGTGTGAAGTTTCTTGTTCTAAATCCACTCTGATCCTGTATTTGATCATGTCTATAAACCCCTCTATTTCAGCCCTGCTCAGAACAGGCTGTTTATGTGTCTGTACCTTTAAATATGTAAATTAGCTGTGTCTGACTACGCCCCTTCTTGGGAAGGGCTTGGGTGTACTTGATGCTTTCTCGCTCCATGTCCTATTGTTTACGGTGAGAAGGCAGACTCAGAGGACAGAACAAACACCTAGCTGTGGGAGTGTCACCCACCTGTGGGAGGGGCTACTGCCCTTTGTGATGTCATGAAGGGAAAAACTCCAAACGGCTTGTTTGAGCACACATTTTCTGATTTGATCGCCGATATGCGCCGATATTAATTCATTTATTCACCTGTCGAATAGCATCATTATATTACACTAGCAGTTCTCTTTCTGCCTGTCACCAGCAGAGGGCGCTATATAGATTACAACAAGCATGATCACTCTCCAGAGGGTCAAGCGGTGATGCACGTACATGCACGGCTACTTTCCAGTTGAGTGACCATCTTGTCTTCGTTATAAAGTGTTTGATGACTTCATTTGAAGGATCAACACAATAAATGTGTAAATCTGCATCTATCTCTATAGATCAAAGATAGAACGATATCGGCTGATATATCAGTATCAGATGTTTTTCTCTCCCTAGTATCGTTAAAACCCCTTAAAAGCCCAAATCGGTCGATCCCTAGTCAAAACTGATGTCTTCCTATTACAACAAAAACACGTTTTGGGGGAGAAGTAACCTTCTTCTGCTTCTCTGTTTGAAGCTTTTGAAAGTGATTCTTTTTCATGTTGACAGCAGTTATCACAGGCTGAATCTGGGAGATGAAAATGTGCTGAGGCGCAGGAAGGAAGAGAGCAGTTAGAGAGGAGGAATGCACTGATAGAGGAGGAGAGCAGGAAGACTGCGGAGGAAAAACACAGGGTCATTTTGGTGAGACTGGACGCTAGGCCTGCAGCGCGATCGCCCAAATGTTCGATACTTTTTCATACCAAGTGTTTCGGGGAAAATCCTCTGAAGCTTCAAAGAGAAACTTTTGATGTCAGAGCAAATTGTAACTTCCTGTTTTGTCTTTCTTTTTGTGGTTTGATGGTTTCCTAAACTACACTGTCAAGGTGCTGAAGCGTGTCTCGATTTTCTTACAACTCTTTGATATCCTCAAAATAATATAATATATAACTGTATCAGGTTGCATGGAATATCCTGGCAGGCTTTGGATGGTTTCAGAGGAGAATCTCCGCTGGAGATCAGAGTCAAAGGAAGAGGTCAAAGGTCAAAGTACTCACTGGTTTCTTGAGGAAAAAGACGGACAGAGCTCCGATCAGAGGCATGTCCCCCAGCAGAGGCTCCATCACCACCCGCATCGTCCCATGGAGCTGGACAGAGGAAACAGAAGGGATGACTTATATTCAATTAAAGCCTTTTTATTAAGGATGTCAAACCGTTAAAATTGTGAATCATGATCAATCGTTTAATTTTAATAGTTAATCGGGATGCTGTTTGAAGTCAACCATGCTTTTATTTTGAAATACAGTTAGGACCTTCTTGTAGAGTGAAGGTTAGGACATGAAGTTAAGCACATAAACAGGAAGTGGTTAGGGATCACAAAGTAAAGTCAAACAGCTCAAAGGAAGGTCAATGGTCAATGTGTGATGTCATAAGGTGGATATTACTTTGGACTGAGAACAACCCCCGAGACAGCTCAGCTGACGAGTCAAACGTTTGTGGTTTACAACATTTCATGTGTTTACCGTACTGGCTGTTAGCTGTCTGATCTGTAATTACCTTTTTCCCAATGAACTTCACTCTAGTGGGAGTTTGGTGCTTTCTTTCAAAATAAAAGCAGGATTTTTAAATGCGCTTAGATTAAGACAGTACAAAATTTCAAAATAAATGTTTTGAAATGCATTATGATGGATTTTCAAACAATGCAGTTAATTGCTATTTAAAATGTAATCATTGGACTGCCTTTCACTTACATACTTTATTAATCCCAGAAGGAAATTCTGGTTTTACACTCACATAGGAATCACACACATGCACAAACAGGACCTGACATCCATTAGTGGAGCGATGTCAGAGTGTGTGCTGCTCATAAGGCTACACATAGAGGCAGACGAGAGTGTTTGAGGGGTTGGTGCCTTGCTCAAGGGCAGTACCTCGGCACCTCTCCAGCTACCAGACGGACTTCCAGATTAAGGCCCCGCACCAGGACTTGAACCTTCCACTCCCTACAGACTGAGCTACAGCTGCCCCCTAATTGCATCCTACGCCGGACTATTGCACTCTGCTCTGCAGGTCTTGTAATGCTATGTGGGAGACCCCTGGACTTGCATAAAGCTGCATTTAGGATTTCACCAATGTGTGAAATGCTGGTACTGCATAATCTTAGTGGTGCTTGAAAACTGGCAGAGTAAAAGCTGCAGGTAACAGCTTTCTTCAGATTACACTTTTTAAAAACAGTCTGATGATTCTTAAGAAACAGATTCCCCCTGGAGCTTTTTTTCTGTTTAATTAACGACACTGCTTCCTCAGTGGCTGCAGTGACTCAAACCTCAGATATGTAGACTGCCCGTCTGCAGCACCAAATTTGGTCGTAGCTGGCTCTGAGTAATCAAATACCAACATTTTGCTCATCGGAGCGAGTGCAGTGGAAAGATTGAAGATAATGTTCTGTTTATCCTTCCTGTAAGCTCGCTCCTGCCTGACAGAGGAGGAGGCTTTCTGAATTTTTATTTTTTATTTTAAACGGTGTCAGGAGCCATTTCCACCACAGGAGAAGAGGGAGAAAGTCGCTTTTTTTATAAGTGATTTACGACATTTAATGAAATCTGTCGCCCTTAAGAAATGACTCATCATTCCCCCGATAAGCTCGGGAAGTTTAAACCTTCTGAGCCGCTTAGTTCCTCGGCGGGGACACACACTGCAGCGCTGCAGCTGTACAATTTGAGGCGAGCACAAAAGGCAAACATTGACTCTCTCTTTAAATCTTCTCCAACTTTTTCTCTCCTCTCTCTCACTTTCTCCTCTGATCTCTGAACAGCAAACATGGTGCGATTCCTCCGTCAACATCAGAGAGGATAACGTCTCCGTTATCAGCCCGCTGAGTCAACACATGATGTAAAAGTAGTCTCTGGAGGGGTCGCGGGCTAATTCAGAGGTCAGGGTCAGAGAGAGGAGGAGGGCTTCCACCGGTAACAATTCAGCGTCTGTGTGAAAGTACGGTTTAAGTTTTTAATCCTCTTTACTATTTGAAAATGTTGACTCTCGTTTCAGAGCTGGCTGCATCGTCTGCACTGCTGAAGGATGTCAAAGTTTGGAAAACTTCAATATTTTAGATCTTTGTTATTTTAAAGGAGATCCATGATGCTGATCCATATTTAAATACATATGTATCGTGTTAAATGTCCAAACTAAACCTCTGCAATGTTTTTTTAAAACACATGATACACAGTTGTTGGTGGAGTCCCCGGACGTGGTTTCCTGCTGCTCTGAACGAGACTTCACGAGATCTTGGTAAGACTTGGTCAGAACCTGACTTAAAGTTCTTCTGACGTATCAGAGCAAAGAGTGGAGCAAAGTTGTAGGACACGCCCACCAGGAAGCTCACTTAAAATCTCCCTGTGACTGCAAACAGAGCTGGCCAATCAGAGGAAAGTGGGCACGTGGGGAGGCGGGCCTTAAAGAGACAGCAGCTGAAATGAAGCGTTTCAGGCAGAGGCTGAGATGAAGGATTTTACTGACGTCAGTATCAGATAAATAAGAAGGTTTTTGAGCTGCACATGTGGTTTCCCAGACTGACATGATTAAAGGTGAGAGTGAGGATCATAGATCTGCTTTAATGATTGATTGAATGTCCAAAAAGAAATCCTCACATCACTGAACGCTGTGTGCATTAAACAAAAAACATTGGCAACATTTTTGGAACTGAAGCGTTGTCAATGTTTTGGTGCAGTCGAGACAGACAGTCTTACCTGTATGCTTTTGATTCCAGCTCTGCAGTAATATTTCTTTATGTCCACGTCAATCTCCGTGTTCCCCACGAAGCTGAAAGGAAGGAAGAAGAAGAAGAAGCAATAAGACGATGAATGATAAACGAGACGGTTCAGGGGGGGAAATAGAAACATACACAGATATCATGTTGATTTAAGATTTTTCATGTTCTGCGTTTGGTCGACTCCAGAGCAGGAAACAGGTTTTTAACTTTTAAAGGAAAAGGCTGGAGTTCAGCTGTCCTTTACAATAAGTTCGAGACCCCTGTGTGAGGCTGGACACGGCCTGTACTGGGTCTGAATGAGGGGTGACCACAGAAGAGTGAAACCAGTGCGTATTGCGGGGTCTGGAGCAGCGGCCTCTCAGGGCCTTTTGTTGTTTGATCGTGCAGTTGTTTCTGTGAACAAAAGCTAACGAACACGTCCCGATTGGGAAAATCAAGGCCGACAACAAGAAAGATTTAGCCGAACCGGACGACGATGTTTGTTTCATGACTTCTTTTTTTGCAAGACTCCCACAATGCAACATTTTCTCTCATATTCAGGGGACTTCTTCTCTGAATCAGTAGTTTGGTGTACTAGATGTCGGCATTAAATTGATTTGGCACAACAAATAAACATCGGCTACTGACATCGGTTCATGCCACATTATTTGTGGAGGGTCCGATGTCAGTCAACAGGGCCGATACCGATGTAGAACCAATACATCGGTGCATCCCGAATAAATGTATCAAAGTTTTGTACCTTGCTTCTCTTGTTTCTCTCATGAGCCCCTCTGTATTGTAAATGGGCGTGTCTCATATCGTCATGAGGTCACCGTAATGCAGACTTAATAAAGTGAGAAAAAGTCCCATCATGCGTTTTTATTCCAAGACAAATAGTTGTGCCGATAAAGACAGGAGATACTCAAACCACATTTGTTTTTTGAACCCGGCTGTAAACATGTTTATGTCCGCTGTAAAAACAGACTCTTGAGTATAGGTGTGTATGAGACTTCTGGGGATTCTGCTTGCAGCCTCAAGTGGACACTCGAGGAACTGCACTTTTTTTTTTGCACTCCCACATTCGCTTAATTTTTAAGCACGGGAGGATACATCTCAGTGGGACATCAACCCCCAGAGGTACAACAGACATAAGACTAGACGTGTTCTCCATGTCACCAGGTGGGGATTTTACAGGTCATGTGACAACCTGGTGACACGGAGAAGTCTCGTAAACTCACACCTGGCGCTATGGGAAACCACTCTAATGTTTTATATGCATTCAACTTTAAAGTCAAGCTGAACCATCCTGGAGTGAGCTGGATTTAGAAAGCGGTTTGTTCCTGCTCCAGCTGCATCCCGGATGAGTAGCAAAGGGCATCCATCGATCCTCAACATTAGAATATACAGATAGTGTTTCACTGCGTACCTGACCTGCAGGTCCATGATGACCTGCCTCTTGTCCACATTCTCCGTGTAAACTTTCACCCCGTTCACTCTCAGCGGCTGCAGAAACACAAAACAGACACAGGTGAGTAAATCTTTCCCAGAGCTGACACGATGCTAACATGTGATGCCCAGCTCTGAAATGTGAGCAAAAATGTGTCAAGATGTTTTTAAATCAGAACAGACGAGTAAAACACAGCTTGTCTTATTTTCTTGTGTTTCTTTGATTCAGATTCTTCTGCGTTACGTCTGAGGTTAGCTTCCTTTCAGATCGAGCTCTGTACGTGTTAAACATTCTCATCACAGTCCGGGTGTCCGCTTCGTCACCTTGTCGCCCATGTCGATCTTGGTGAAGCAGAAGGAGCTGAGATGAGGGTTGGCGCCCTGCACCGCCGGCTCGATGGTGTCTCTGAACAGCTTGTCCACAAACTGGCAGATGAACGGCCACATCTGCTTCACGGTCTACGAGGGAGGAGCGAGAGAGGGGGGGAGAGTTAGACAGAAATATGGAGTTCAGATGCCACACAGTCTCAGCCAGGGTGGAGCTAATGATCTAATGCCAGATAAGGTTGTTCACAAGTTTGAGGTGTTTTTTTTTTTTTGAAGATTGTATAGAACAAACAGGAGCCGGTGTTCTCTCAAATACTGCTACCCAACAAGATGTGGCTCTGTGCAGTACTAATTTGAGCTTCTCGTCTATCGAGATACACTTCCTCTGACATCTCAAATAACAGTTTTATCAAAGAGTATCAAAACATGCTTCCCGTTCCCTCTAAAGTGCAGATGCAGTGAGCAGTGGTGTTTTGGATTTTTTGAAAGCTATATTCCTGCTCGTCTGTATCCATCGACTTCTTCCTGGAAGTCCATCTTCAGACTTTCACTAAGTGCTGCTCTTACTGGGTTCCAGTTCTTTGTGTGTTTGTCGGTCAGGCCCCCGCAGGTTCTGCAGAGAACAGCCCGAGGAGCTCGGCTCAGCTGAGTCAGTGATCTTCTCTTTATAAAACCTGTGAACCTTTGCTTTCCACCCCTGATGTTATGAAGTGTCCGACTCTCTAACATTGTTCTAAAGCACGCTCTATAAATAATGGTTATCATCATATCTCAAGCTATCACTCGCTCTGCTTCACCTCCCTCTCTCTCTCTCTCAGGGGAGACTGTAGCACTGGGTCAGGGTCTAGCAGAGCTCCACATTCAGGTCCTATTTATAAACCCTACCTGTCTGTCTCTGCAGCCTAACAGGCTTACGGCTCCTGAGGCAGAGAGAACCAGCGGGGGTGGGACGAGAGGGGGGGGGGGCTTAATGTGTGTGTGTGTGTGTGTGTGTGTGTGTGTGTGTGTGTGTGTGTGTGTGTGTGTTTTCACCTTATTCAGCCACTCCACTCTCTCCACATCTGGATAATGGACCTGGAATGAGAGAAAGAAAGGAAGGAGTTAAAATAAAAAATCGGGTCTAAATCAGCCTGAAATATCAATTTTTAAAAAAATCTATCTCAATATCACAGAAACTGGAATCTCTATGAAGCTTCCCTTTTATTTAAAGGATGCACAATACAGGAAAAAAAACCAGACGGAGATTATTCAGACAAAGAAAGATTAGTTAAGGAATCATTTCTGCAGCCTATAGTTTAAGTCCAAGGGTTAAATCTTTTTGGATTGATCTCTGTGACATCATGAGGTCATGAAAATCTGCTCATCTTGACCTTCAGAGAACTTAAAGCAACACAGCTTCCTTTCAAAGAAGAGAGCAACTGTCCCTTCCTCTAAGACGTGGCTGGAGGATAAATTACAAGCACACTCCATTTGGAAACGTTCAGTAGAACCTGGAAACCCAGTTACAGGAAGTTCAGCATCAGCAGCAAGAAACTCCTAAAAATAACAGAATATCAAGAGGAACTTTTCAAAACGCGAGGCGTACTCCAGGTGTGTGCGTGTTGATAAGACGAGCAGATTGAAGTTGTTTGTTGCAAAAACTGAATTAATTCAGAGGGGATAAACTCATTTGATTTAAATACAAACAGCATATTAAAATATACTCTAAGATAGGAGTAAAAAAAACTCCACCGCCCCGGGTATCCTGTCATTCTGTGGGACACGCTGCACTGTAAAAACTGATTCAATCTCCATAATGTTTATTTATTTATTTGTTTTTTTGTTTATTCCGAACATGTAACATAAGACGAAGGTGAACAGAAAAAAACAGACAGAACAGAAAATAAATAATAATTACAAACAGTGGAAAGTATCATATTGTGGACGCTATGCTTTGTAACATTCACTGAGAGATATTTCAAGTTGACATTTGACCTTCATCAAAGAGCAGCTTTTGTGATTTGGATCCTGCTCTGGGATAAGAGCGATGTGATGATATTTTGATTTATTTTAAGTCTTACAAGCCAGACATCAATAGATCATAAAAGACATGAGGATAAATCCAATTCTGAAACCATAACAGTCTGCACAACACGCTGCTTTAATGCCTCTAAACGCTGCTGAGATATTTCATTTAGGTCAATAAGCAGCTGACCAACACACCAAAGTGATGAAGCTAACGTGGCTCAAAGCTAACAGCTAATGGGTTTATCTGTTCCCCTGTAAAGTGCAGGTGTTCCTCTCTGTCGGATGATGGATCACATCCAGCAGATAAATGACAGTGAGAGGTTTAAAGTGCTGCTGCTGCGCGCTGACGAGCTGCCTGACAGGAAGTGTGTGCTGTTACATCACCGACGCAGGGAGAGGATTCTGCACCTCCACACAAACAGATGAGAAATAAAGCATGACAAAGAGACTACGTCCAGGTGAGACAGGAAGAAGGGACTTTAAATGCTGAACTAAATACAGAAGTAGTCGACGTATGTTTGCTTCCTCATCAGCAGCTCTGCGTTCTCTGGAAAAGGAAGAGGCAACATGCTACATCAACTCGAAAAATAGTAAAAATCGAATGTTATGGATGCCTGTTTCAATGCCTCAGCAACAAAAAGAAGTATAGACACCCAACACAGGGTCACTTTATGTTTTCAGTAATAAAACATTTCCTGCACGTTGTCTAAATCAGTGGTTCTCAACTGGTCTCTGACCCAATTTTGGGATATTTTCCAACCCATCAGATTTTTTAGTGTTGAAAACATGGAGCAGTTTGGATCTCAGACGGTATAAAACATATGACAGAACAAAGAGATGAGACAAAACTAAAATGTTTTTAAAAGTGATTTTTAGACCTTTGGACACCTTTTTTTTTTTTCGGGACCCACTGAACACAACTCCACGACCCACTTTAGGGTCCCGACCCACCGGTTGAGAAACACTAGGCTAAATTGCGCAAAATGTTGACAACGTTTTGGTACCGAAACACTTCAAATGTTTTTGTGTAATTAAAACAGTGTGCAGGAATTTAGCCGCAATTTTTTGATGGATTGCATCCTCTCCTAACAACCAATATTCAAAAACTCCGTTACTATGGCGACGTTCGCTCCCACTCCAGTGGCCAGCAGCGGCACTCAGCTCTGCTCCGTTTCAAATGTGCACCATGTATATATTTTCGACAGAGCTCGCCTCAAGCTGAGCAGAGCAGACCGTTCCAGACAGGAAGTCAGATAAGGGAACGCACAGAGCGAGCGTCCGGTCGAGTTCAAAATAAAACACAATATACAGACTCACGATCATACAGTATGTTTCATCACTTTATCAACATTACGCCATTACAGGCACTGAATCAACAACAACTCAGCCTCAGAAAGACAAAGCATTGTTTTTCTCTGCGTTCCCGTGTGATCTTGTAGTTCTCGTGTGATCTTGTAGTTCTCGTGTGATCTTGTGAACCTGTGTGTACAGGTTTTAATGGACAGTGACAGTGAAATTCTCCAGACATTTTCAGGAGAGCAAATGCAAAAAAAAAAAAAAACAGCTTTTACATCACTCAGTCTGCTCACTACAAAACGTTGTTTCCCACATGAGGATCGTGTTTTCTGTGACACTGCAGACTCACACCAGCGCGCTGCATGTTTCACAGGAATGTGAGGTCACCCCTGTCTCATACAAACATGAAGCCATCTAGGAAATACACAGCGAGCCGTCCTCGTGCACACCACCGCCGTCAGCAGAAATAAAAAAACACGGAACGCAGATTGTTAGTGTGACGCTTTCTATTCCTGTGACACAACTATTTTCTTGTTCAGTGCATGGAGCTCAACAAGTGCTGATTCATCTGGTGAGTTTGTGATCAGATCAGATCCTGGACAGGGAGGACCGTCGGTTTGAAGAGGGTGTTAAAGAAGACGTTTATGTCAAGGTGGGGAAACCATCTCTAAACCGAGGTGTTCTCACACCAACCTACAAAGCTGGTTTGAATTCTCTCCCAAAGCAGCTGAAGCCCGGTTCCCACCTTGGAACATGTGACTCCCAACGACGTTTTTCAGTGCTCTTGCAAACATTAAGCTACGGTTTCGCTAGCTTGTCAAAACCGCCGATTAGATCGTCCGAGGCATAACGGCGGTGACGTCAAAAAAATCATCCGACCGCGGTGTAGTTAGCCATAGCATAACGTTAGCTTTTTACTTCTGTCGGCCGCATTGACGCTTCAAACGTCATCAAAATGGCGTTCATCTGTGAAGATTATCCTGCTGAACAAAACGCCCAAGCATCAGAAAAAGAAGTTTGCCACAGAGCTTATTTCCTGCAATGATCCAAAATCCAATGCAAAAATCCCATAGGCGAATTCGACCCCATGGCGTTTGCTACTTCCGGGTTGGCCTACAAAAACACGTCATTTGGTTTGTTCTCTACAGTAGAGGAGTCTGCAGGAAACTGATGACATAACGAGGATCATCAAGTAATGTATTGAAGATTAAAAGTCTGGTATCCTGAAAACTCTCGCAGTACAAGTCTCAAATAATTGAAACACAGAAGGTCAAGAAACCTTCAAAACACAGCACCATCTGTGTCATGATGTCATGTATAAAGCAGCATGAATAGAAACTGAAGCTGCATCGATTACTATCTCTTCATGTCAGACATGTCTGGAGGACAGAGAGGGCGAAGTGAAGACAAACATGTAAATGGAAAAACAAATCGCTCCTCGCCTGAGTTAACACGGGGATCGAGGATGTTTTCTTTTCCAGGTGGAGTTTTTCTGGTGCAGCTGCAGCAGATGATGTGGCTGTGTGACCTGTCCCCCCCGCTCTGTCCTTTGTTTACCTCCACCTGCGGTCAACACAGCCAGTCAGCTAACACCTGCAGCATCACTCACTGCTTCAAGTGCATCAAACTGCACACAGAGGAGTCCAACGAGGAAAGATGGACGCTGCTGTAACATCAGTTTCTCCTCGTTCAGGTTACACAACGAAAAGCCCGACTGACACTTACTCACCAGAGGAAACAACAGATATTCACATGAACGTTTTTGAGTCGGGATTTAAACGACTGACAGGAAGTGTGGTCATGCTCTGAGATGTGTGAAAATGAAATAAATGATGGAAGGATGTATTTTTACACCTTCTTACAAGATGAGTAATTCTCAACGGCCTGCAGAGTGACAAAGCCAGGAAACTGACTCATTTCCTCAGAGTAATAAAGACAGGAAACATTTCTCTTTCATTAGAGCGCTGGTTTAAAAACGATGGGTCCTGTCGCTCAATAGACCCTGTAGTGCAGTGGTTTCCAACTGGTGGGTCGGGACCCAAAGGTGGGTCGCAGAGCAGCTTTTTGTGGGTCGTGAATGTGTGTCTAAAAAAGAAAATTGTGTTGAAAAAGTCTATGACAGTTTTGTTCCGTTGCATTGTTCTGTCACATGTTCTCTACCGTCTGAGGTCCAGAAATGTGAGTCGTGATTGTTCATGAAGGAGTCGGTGGTGGGTCCTGAGACTCGACTGCTGCTGTAGTGGGTCCAAAGATTCCCCAGAAGTTCAATTTTCACATTATTTTGAGCTGCCTTCAACTCACACGTCGTGATTGAATAATAATTATAATGAAGCAAAAAAAGAAATAAGACAAAAATGGGGGCGGCAGTAGTTCAGTCTGTAGTAACTCGTAGGGGACCAAAGGGTCGCCAGTTCAAGCCCAGGTACGGACCAAAATATGGTGACCAAAATACTCTGGTCACTAGAGAGGTGCCAGTTTACTTCCCAAGTACTGCCGATGTGCCACTGAGCAAGGCATTGGACCCCCAACAGCTCTGTCAAGGTCCCTGTGTAGTAGAGGTAGGGGAATAAATCTGAGAACAACACACCTTTGGAACTTCTCTTTCTGTCTGCATTCACACCTCCATGGTACTTACTGTGAAGTAGGCTCTACAAAGGTTCCTCTAAACGGGGGTTTTAGGAACTGACATAGTTCATAGTTCCTTGAATAAAAAAAGGAGAAGGGTTCCAACAGTTCCTAGAACTATGAAGAAGTTCCTGCGGTCTGAAAAT